TCTGCATTATAATGGGTGAACGTTTTGTAGCTTTGCGTTGGTAAGTGCCTAAGTTTAGTTCTTGGCGCTTCATGTATTAGGAAACCATATAGTCTTAAGGGTGCCTTGAGCCATTGGTTTCACTTCTACTTGAATAGGTACTTCGCCAATCTATTATCCCCAGTACATTAAACGTCAACATCCTCTCAGCAACATGCACAACTATGCTATAGCTTAGTTTGGTAATGTTGTAATGTTAACGTTTTTTTTTTTCTTTTGCGTAGAGTGAAGTTCAATGTTACTGTCATGGCGATGGACTGACTGCTTTACAAGTATGTTGACCTTAGAAGTGAAACCATGGAGGAGGTGCTCATGTAGTTCTTTATTTATACTTTTCCCTCATAAATCAAAACTTAGATATCTAAAATTTTTTAAAAAGGTAGATGAAATGAGAGGATGATATTTTTTTGTAGGAAAACTTATTTCTATATCTGTTCTCTCTCTTGATATTTTTGAAACTATCAATGCTTGTAGTACTCATACTCCTACCCTTCTGCACTGACACTACAACATGTATATGATACGGCAGAAGTAGGGTGGGGCTGGCCGGTCTAGCAAGGAAGTCCGGCCCAGGTGGGGCCGGTGGACAAGGAGAGAGAGGCGGTTGAGGGGATGGAGCCCAACAGAGAGTTAAAGCATTATATTAAGAGCAAATTCTTTCCTAATTGATTTTCTTTCCTCATTGAAACCTTTCCTAATTGAATTATTTTTCAAATTAAGGAGAGAAACATATTAGGAAGGAGGCTTATTTTTGAGGGAGGGAGGAAGCTTATTTAAGTCCATAGTAGTGTTTATTTTATTCTTATGCAGATTTTTTTTTTGAGTGCTGTAGTTTTTTTTGTGTGAGGGATCCTAGCGGCGTCTATGGTTTGGGAGAGAAGGTTCTCCTCTCGAAAGAGGACCATTGTATCTTGCTCTTGTTATTTGATTTCCTGGCAATAAAAAATTTGTTTTGTCCTGAATTTCTCTTATTCGTTGGCTATTTTTTTGATACCAAGTCGTATCAGCATAGAGCTAGGTTTTAATGATGGTGATAATAATGTAAAATAAGTATTTTTGGATCTTTTCTGAATATTTTATGTTTTAGAGATAGATGCAACATAAGTGCTTTTGTGTATGCCTGGCTCTATATAACATCCTAGACAATACTGGCTTTTCAAATCGTTTCCTATGTGTAATCATAGTAATTATGTTGTCTGTGCCTATCTTGGAAGTCAGAAGACACTCTTTTCTAATGACATTGACTATTATTAGTTGATGGAAAGTTTATTCTACTTTGCTAATCTGATTAGACAAATGCATGTATGATTGGTCTGTGAGAAACATAATGATTCTGTTTACTTATATTTTATATAAAGAAAAAGGAATAGTATCGCCATAAATATTTAATTGAGTTGTATGTACCTCTGTTTGTTATTTGTAGTGTAGTGAGTTGAACATCTCCCTTGGTCTTAAAAATTTTTGGTATGTCAAATCAGGAACTCAATTTTTGTACAATTTTAGTTTTTATGGGAAACTGCTCAGCTTTGTGGCGAGGTTCTGAAGTTGCACGTAAGTTATCTCATTGCGCATATGTGACAAATCACCATAAGAACTATGCCTACCTGCCTTCTGTGGCCACCATTAATGCCATTTTGCAGTAGTCTCCAAAAAGCTTAGGGCATGCTGTACTTGTATTTATACCTAATTTAATTACAATATAGTGGGAGAAAATCACTTTGTTTTGCATGAGTTAAATACAAAAAGATCACTTGGGGATAATAATCTGATGTGTTCCATTTGAAATGGATGGCTCTGATTTAGCTGAACCAGGTTTGATCAACCCAAGAGCTGTCAATTGCCACTGAGCTACAGCATTTAGCATAGTTGGTGCTTGAAAATGCTATGATCTCCCATACATATGGAAGCTGTTGCTAACCTTCAAACAGTATAATCTTAGAAAGGTGGATGGGAAGGTTTGGTGTTTGTAGTGGTTGAAGCAGAATTCTCTGGTGAGAATTGATTGTTGCTCGTGGTTGTGGGACGCTATGTTTGCTTAATATTTTTGGGCGACATTGCTGATTCAAATAAGGAATGAGAGAACTGTTGATAAATAATGCTAAATTACTACCAATTATACACCCACACCTAAATTAGTGATATTATCTAAGTGCTGTGCATTGTTTGGTTGTATGAGATTGTTTATATGTGATAGTATGATTTGGCAAAAATTCTCAAACATTGGAAGAGTTTGTCATCAGGCATTGGCCAAATCTACAATTAATCAAACGTTGGGAGAGTTCACCTGGACCATGCTAATGACGTTCAGAATAATGATTTTTTGAGTTCTCCCTATGAAAATAAGATAATCTTTGATCAGTTCTTCATCAAGTTTTCTTCCAATTTTAAATCTTTCATACGCAATAACTAGGGTGGTTTCCTCATGGGTTTAGAACTTTTCTTTAGTGTAACACTTTAAAATTTACTATTATCCTGCTATAACTTCCTCAACAATCTATGTTGTTGAAATATGAATGGTTAACCTTGATGAGCATTGACATAATAGAGTAAGTTTATCATTCTTTAAAGTTACTGCTTGCCTATGGTGGCATCTAGCTAGTGACCCCTTTACCTGACTACCAGTGAATTCAATCTCTCTCTTCTTATGAGTGCTCTTTTCTTCTTAACGTGAAAAATGTTCTTATATAATGTATCTGTGAGTTCAATCTCTATTTCACCTTTCACTTGAGCCCTCTTCTTCTCCATATGAAAATGTTCCATCTCCCATTCTATGCTCGTGGATATCTGAACCATTGGTATTTTGCCCATATTGTTCAGAATTTGTATTATACCTTCAGTTATCTGTCAGTGCAGTTATGCTCTAAAACTGATGTGAAACAACTAGGAGTTATTTTAGAAATTAAAAAGAGAAGAAATTAAAATGTTGCTCGTTATAAATTTAAAGCTAGCACATAAAATTTGAGTTAGGAATTTGAAACTCTTAACTTGCTTAGGTTCACGAAGCACAATTGAAATTAACCGAAACACATTCATTCAAAATTCAAGCGAATGTAAATGCAAAGTACCGTTAACAAAAATCCAACGTTTAACAACGAGAAGTTCACCTAGAGAACCGTCTCACTCGGTTATTGGTAAGCTTTAGCGGAGAAAGAAGATCCAAACGATGAAGGATATCACCACTAGAGAGAGGGCGCCGAAGAACTTCGTTGGTGGAGAGGTAGCCGGTGGGGAAGGAGGTGGTGGGCGGCTTACGAGGCTCCAATTGTGGTTTGAGAATCGTCGGTCGAAGATGCTAGCAAGAATTGGGACGACTCGGTCCAAATATTCTTCCACGGTGGTCTCGTCTTCAAATCCTACGTCGAAGCACGGAGATCGTAGGATGTTGAAGCTTCCGTCAGCGTTGAATACAAGACCCCATTCAAACTCGGGATCCGCCATTCAACATTGAAGAGAATCGGGGAGAGAGGTGTCGCCTTCTCCTTTCCTTGCTGAAATTTCCCAAGAGAGGGAGTGAGGAGGTGGTCGGCCAAAACAGAGAAGGAAGGGGCGGGTGGATGGGATGAGGAAAATTAGGTTAGGAAAGGGGAAGAGGAGAGTTACACAAATCTGAAGTTAATTTCAGAATTTGAGTAAATTGGAGGGAAGGAGATTTGAAATTGATTCCAAATTAGTAAGAGGATTAAGGGGCAATTAATGGGCATTAATGTGGCCCATTAAAGAGGAGGCTGGCGGCTTAATAGGGAGAGGGAGCATGTGAATTCAAAAACCTGAAATTTGATTTTTTGCCGTCAGGTTGGGGATCTTGAAGGAGCTTAGAGTTGAAGTGGAGGAAGTTAGTGGATAAAATAATGTGTGGGATACGGGAACGAGTGTGTAGTCGGCAGCTATGGGAAGAGCTAGGGCCGGCGGGTTGGGAGAAGGAAGAAGAGTGGGATGAAGGGGATAAACCACGAGCCACGGACTCTTCCAATGACTGGTGGGTGTTGCTTTTGGCCCTCACCTTGGGCTTTCTCTCTCACTTCTCTCTAGCTCTCATACAAGAAGAGTAAGAAGAAACAAAATCAGATTTTCATTCAATAATTCATTAACCCTTTTACATCATATGAAACCACTATATATAGGTCTCCAATCAAGCAAAGAGAAAGTACATAGTTGCCCTCTGGGCTACAACATCAAAGTAACTCCCCTCAGGGGTAAAAACGGAAAAGACTGTAAATAAAAGATAAAATAATAAAATACATCGACTACATCATGACATCTGCATCAAAAATAGAGGCGCTGAATCGTGGTCGTCGGTCTGCGATTTCGACGGAGATAAACATGTCGGTAGCGTTTGTCGATGTCCTCATCAAAAACATTGTTTTGTTCATTAGTTTCTCTTAATTTTGGTATGTCAAATTTCCATCTTAAATAGCACAGTGTAATGCCATGCTTTGGATCCCTTTGCTTATGCTGTAGCTTCACATACAAAGTTTTCATGGTGGTAGTAGTTATTTTTCTAGAGGAAATCAAACCATATTTAAAATAAATTTTTGGAGTTCTTGCTGTTTTGTTTTCATAAGCTTTACGAGGTATCATACCATGCATAAGTTTTGCAGTTTGTCCTCTAAGTTACGTTAGCCTAATGGGTACTTTTAGCACTAAAAGAAAATATAGTACCATACATACCAAGGGAAATATGTAGCTTCATATCGTTGGCTGCAGTCTTTACCTGGTGTTTTTTTTTTCAAATCTTTCCATTGTATTTTCGTTTTATTATTAACTCTGTAGCATGTAATCAGACGTGATCTTTATCATTGTGTATTTAGCTGCTTCCACAATATTTGCTCTCTGGCACATTTTATGTTTACTTGAAATAATTGTTTGCCTTGGTATAAAAAATGATACATTTTAATATAGTTCTTTTATAATATTTCTTTTCCAGTCTGTTTTAACTTCGTAATATATTTTACTTTTCTTAGGCTTCAAGTCCTTTGCAAGTAAAGTATGCAGATGGCGAGTTGGAAAGACTAGGTGTGCCATATATTACTCTAGCACTATTTTTACAGTTATTATGCTTAAATACTTTAATTGTGATTATGTTCTGTTGCACTTATTCATCTTGCTTTGCATCTTTTACTCTTTTTTCTTTTAATTTTTTTTTATAAATATCTTTTGGATTTGGTTTCACTTAGAAGAATTGCTAGGGATAGTTTGATATTTTTAACCTCCATGATTTGTTTCATGTTTTTGATATCCAGAGAATATGCTTTTCATTGGTATGTTGCCAATTGCTTTGCTTTTTTACTGTTTTTCTTTTTAAGTTTTTTTTTTTTTTTTAAAAATACATATTTTTCTGGGCATGGATTCACCAAGAAGAATTGCTGGGGATAGTTTCAAATGTTTAACCTCTATGATTTGTTTCTTGTTTTTTTTTTCCCCAGAGCATAAACTTTTCATTGGTATGTTGCCAAAGAATGTAACAGATGATGATGTTACTGCGTTGTTTTCCAAGTATGGTAATGTAAAAGATTTGCAGATCCTTAGGGGTTCTCAACAGACAAGTAAAGGTACTGTTTTCTTCCTAATTATCTTCTACTCTGTCATTATGTTTATCTCTTGATCTGAATGTGTGCCTTTAAGTAACATATCTACGGAAGATACACTTATTCCATTTATTTTGTGTAATGGAACAGGTTGTGCCTTTCTTAAATATGAAACCAAAGAACAAGCCTTAGCAGCTCTTGAGGATCTAAATGGGAAGCATATGATGGAGGTTTGTATTTGTGAACAAACACACTTAGGTTATGTTTCTCCTCGTTACTTGGAAATACTGCTTTCGCTTTTACACCTTGTGTACTTCACTTTTGTACACTCTTATCCTTTGCCAAAGGCTATGGTGCCACCTATGATGGTAGGGAATTCATTCATGGCAATTTTCCACCTTAAAAAACTTTATAACTTTAGCCATACATTCACTTGCTTATTTTGTAATGTTTAGCAAAGTAATAGTATTTCTAGTGAACTGATTACTTCAGGTAGTAGAACATTGAGAAATGGCCACGATAACTCGGTTCCAGTGGAGTCTGTTATTGTTGAGTGGATATGCTTAAAAGAAAATGTAAGAAATTTTGGCAAAAAGGGACATGGCAGATTCATTGCTGAGGTATGCCGGGTTAAGTAAAGCAATTGAAATATGCAGAAGATTTCTGCAAGTGATAAAATGAAGTGCTTAAAATAACTTACGATGGGGATAAGTCCAAAGATGTGGGAATTCCTGGTAAAAGATTAAAAGAAAGTTGGTAGTAGTCATTTGAAAGAACTAGAGTTGTTGATGGGAGACTAATAGATGTGTAGTTAATGATGGTGTTTACAACTTACCGGAACATGCAAAAGCTTGCTACAGTGATGTGCTGCAGAGCAAGCGAATATATAGTGATGCCATTTTTCTTTTAATGTCTGGCAATCCTTGCACGCAGCTTTTTTATACTTTTGGCACTTAGGTCATACGTTTTTATATACACTGGTACTACAATCATGAACCTAGGTAGACTTCCTTAATAATTTACATAATAGTATATTTTAATTTTTAATATTTTATTATCTAGTTATTTGGTCTATTACCATGATAATAAATTTTATGTCCAAAATTATTTATTATATTATTTCTGTTATTTTTATGCTTATTAATTTTATCTGAGATTTAATATTACCGTAATAAGCTGAGTGTTCAAAAATGAGAAGGAAAAAAATTTAATTGTTCAAGTGTCATTGTAGAATACATTTCAGATTTGTTAACAAATTAGATTCGATATAAATTTCAATTTTTGGTGACATTATATTACATTTAACATTTTCTATGCCGTAACAGCTATTCTTTAGATTTTATTTTTTATTTTTATCGCATCACAGCTGGAACGTCTAGTTATGTTTCATAGTGCTGCACTTGAAGGTCAACAAGCTGCATATCTATCTCTCAATCACACTCCCTCACGCATGTAGACAAAACATTTTCACACGCACAAATACATAGGCAAGCGTATATGGGTTTGGTTTGACATTAGGAGATTAAATGATCTTGTTCATTTATTATTTCATTTGATACATACCCACGTATTCTTTTATTGTTTATAGGGCTCAAATATACCTTTAGTTGTCAAGTGGGCTGACACTGAAAAAGAAAGGAAGGCCCGTAAGGCTCAAAAAGCTCAATCTCAAGCTTCCAGTGTTCCTCATATGAACTCATTACAACAATCGTCATTGTTTGGAGCGCTACCAATGGGGTATATTTCTCCATACAATGGATTCAGCTATCAGGTTAGATAGTTGTGTTGATGCTATGTAGTAATTTTTCATTTTAGGAAGTATTGCATGCACACATTCTTTTTAGTTTTTTTAACAGATGGTTGTTCATAACTAAAGCCTAGTAAAACTTGGGCGAGAAACTGCCAGTGCATAAACTGTGGCCTCCATATTTTTGTATACTAACAAGACTTCTCATGCTCATCTGGGATTATTAGTGTAGAGCAAACACTGACAACATTGTGCTTTTATAACACTATTTGCACAATATGCCATATGATGAATGATACTCGGATTCTGCTAAAACTTAATGTCTAAATATGCCAATAGCCTCAAGATCAATATGCCTTGAGGCGAGGAAGGTTAAAGAGCACTAATCAAAGGCTAAGATGCACTCGCTAAAGGTCAATGATCACTCACTTAGCATGACTACACTCATTACTCGGTCAGCATGACTACATGTCACTCAAGAAGGCCCACTTGACTGGTGAAAATCTACGTATCAATTGTTCTATATATTTTTATAATTTTAGCTACATATTATGCTGCACATTTTTTGTAAATGAATATGTTCTTTATATAGCTTTTTGTGTAGCCCTATAATCATATAAATGAAGGGTCATAAAGCAATTCAAATGATAAGATTAAGGATACTTAGAGTCTCTCATTTTTTAGCTATCACATTTTTTACTTTTTCTCTCTATTTACTATTATGCAATGAAGTCTTTTAAGTCTTGAAGTTAAGGTCCAAGTATTATTCACCGAAAAATTTGAATTCAAAATTTATACTTGAGACATTTCTTGGCTTACAAAGGTGGATGATATATTTTGCTAAACTTTTTAATGAAGATTATGAGAATGCAATTGACTTTAGTGATCTTAGCATATTAAATAAAAATAAAAATTTTTGTTTTTATTGGCATATTCGTAAAACCGAAGTTAAAGAGGGTTTAAAGAAAATGAATTGTGGAAAAGTTTTTGGACATAATGATATTCCAATAGAGGTGTGGAAATGCTTAGGAGAGGAAGGAATTTGTTGGCTTATTAAACTTTTTAATATTATTTTGAAGACTAAAAAGATGCCAGATGATTGGAGAATAAGTGTGTTGATTCTTATTTTTAAGAATAAAGGTGATGCACAAGATTATGTGAATTATAGAGGAATTAAGTTAATGCGTCATAGTTTAAAATTATGAGAAAGAGTTATGGAGCATAGGTTGCAGAGCGACACTAATGTTTCTCAAAATCAACTTGGATTCATGCCAGGTTGGTCTACTATGGAAGCTATACATTTATTGAGAAGTTTGATGAAGAAGTAAAGAGAGGAGTATCTATATATGATTTTAATTGATTTAGAAAAAGCATATGACAAAGTTCCAAGAGAAGTGCTATTGAGAGTTCTACATAAGAAAGGGGTTAATAATGCTTATATTCAAGTCATTAAGGATATGTATGCAGGAGCTGTTATTTGTGTTCAAACGCAAGGTGGTTTGACCAAGTATTTTCATATTTTAGTTGGATTACATCAAGGATCAACCTTAAGGTACTTGTCCTCATGATGCCACTCGCTGTTTTTCCCCTCTTGATGAAATGAAGCAATAGTTTATTCCCATGCTTAATTTAGATGTAAAATATTTCAGGTTCTCTAAATAATAGTGAATGAAAGTCTTTAAATTTATGTTTTTCTTCTGATGGCTATGCACACCGGTTTTTATGGTTTCAATTTGATTGTTCCTGTTATTCGGACATTTTAGCAATTTCTTTCCTCTGGAAATTGAAAGCACTGCTATTTTAGAGATTAAAAAGACATCTTATTTGTATGAGTATTTTTTTTAACACGTTTATTGTTTGTGCTCTTAAATGTCATTTCAAAAACTGTCCTTCCAGTTCTTTTTTTGTAATCATTGTCATGCCTAAATTTATTTATTTATTTTTATTATTATTTTTTTAAACCTGTGAAGTTCTTCTATCATAATGAGCATGCTGTTCTTAATTTTATTCTTATTTGGATAGGCGCCGGGAACTTATGGGCTTATGCAGTACCCTTTAGCTTCAATGCAGAATCAAACTGCATTCCATAATCTGATTTCGCCCGTTAGTCAAGGAAATGCATTACGTGGGACCAATCAAGATCTCTCCCCAAGCACGGTACCTAGGAATTTTACATCAATGCAATCTGCTGGTTATGTTGGCGCTGGTTATCCAGGTGTTCCTGGTCTTCAGTATCCTCTTACCTATCAAAGTGGGATAATGAGTCACAGGCCTCCGAACAATTCTCATAACCCCAATCAACCTCTGAATGGGAATAATATTTCGGCACCTTCTTCCAGCCACAGTTCTAGTTCTGGAGGACAGATCGAAGGTTAAATTGAGCTGCCAAGTTATTGTACCTAGACCTTCCTGCATGACTATTAATTTTTCATAACATATTCATTGGTTTGTTTATTTATATCCAATCTACAGGTCCTCCTGGAGCTAATTTGTTTATTTATCATATTCCCCAAGAATATGGAGATCAAGAGCTTTCAAGCGCTTTTCAGGGATTTGGTAGGGTCTTAAGTGCTAAGGTCTACGTTGACAAGGCAACGGGTGCTAGCAAGTGCTTTGGTAAGTAAACTGTACTTTCAGTACTATGGTAACTAGAAGTAATACCTCCATTTCTCTTTCCTTTCTTCTTTTTGGCAAGCAAACTGCGCTTTGATCCTCGCTTGCTTCTTTTTGGCAGGTTTTGTAAGTTTTGATTCGCCAGAAGCTGCACAAACTGCTATTGATGTTATGAACGGTTTCCAATTGGGTGGTAAGAAGTTGAAGGTGCAGCTCAAGAGAGATAATAAACAGAGTAAGCCTTACTGACTGTTACTTGCGAGGAAAGCTTTCGGCCATAAGACGGTAAATATGATGATGGAAAAAAGAAAAATGATGATCTTGTAATTGTTCCATCGCATCCGGGGCTGGATCTCATGGCCATATAGCACAGAACATACGATGGTGGAAGAAAATTGATGGTTTCATGATTGTTCCATCTCTTGAGGTCTCAAACTGGAAACTGTTAGCGCCATTAGATTCATTACTAGATTCAAATTCTTTGAAATTTGTTCTCATTAATGCATTATCTTGCACATTATCTTGTAATTTATGTATAATTGAAATTTATTTAGATGTCAGAAATTAAATTCATTTTATTGTTTATGAAAAATTTAAGAGCTGATCAATGACTGTTTGTTCCAAATTCTTGTGCAGAATCATGGTTGAATTTGTTTAATCTGTTCTATTCGAAGTCTAGGAAAAGCCTCTAATGTGAGAATTTACTCGGTGGAACATTCTGATTTTCCGAGTCACTCTTTCCTTTTTTTTTATTTTGTTGTTACTTGCCAAATTGTTGTAAGCAGTACTTTTTCTTGTGAAATTTAGGATTTCTTTGGGACGGTTTTTTTTTTTTATTGTTTTTCAAAGTAATTTTTTAATACAAAATTTTTTTAAACTTGAATTTTTTGTATTAGAAAATTGTTTTAGAAAACAATAAAAAAATTGTCCCGAATAAAACCTTCTAAGATCTAGTGTTATGAAAACTGTTTTGATGCTTCTATTGTTTTGTCAAGGTGGATGAATTATTTTGTGCAGACATCAGGTATGGAGCACCTGTCCGATTTATCTCTGTGAACGGTAAAAATTGTTTATGTCGTTCTTTTACTTTTCACAGAGATAAAATTGGACGGTTCCGTCTGGTGTTTGCACAAAATAACACAAAATAATCTCTCGTCGAGGAGTCGTTTCAATGTACTGTGAAAATTCTGATGATTCATGTATTTGTGTATATAATAATATCCATTCTCGTGGTTCTGGTTTGGAAATGCTATTGACATGGTTCAAAAATTATTTTTTGGTAGCTTTAAAGAAAATTGTGCATTAAAACAAATTACTGTAGAAAATTATTCCAAATGAAGCCTTAATCAATCAAGTTTAAATTTTTACTCAAAAATTATGAGGCAAATTTGAATAACGAAATATTAAAAAATTCAGCTGAAGAATTTCAGAAATTAATCTCACGTTTAAACAAGCACTGAATTTTGTAGGCTTGTTATGATTGAAGATACCGTCCCTCCACGTTTATTTCAACGCCACCAAACACAATGTTGCATGTTGTAATTCATATGGAATTTGATTATTGATTTGTTTGGGATAGTTTTTGCTCATAATTTTTTTTGCTGCTTTCATAAAAAATTTTATGCTAGAAAATTATCTTAAACAAAGCTTACATTGTTGCACCTTCAATTATGCATAATTCATTTGTATCTTGGATTGGGTGACCAGGATTTGATAAAGTTGGTTGGGAGTTAGATTGTCTAAATATTTTTCAATTGAAAGAGGGTGTTTAACGTGCCTAATGCGTCTATGGCTAGAACAATTATTACGTCCTCTGACCGGACGTAGAGCTACGTTCGGCCGCCAATAACATCTCGCCACGTGCTCTTACTCTTTACCGCGCGGCCCGACAACTTGACCCGGACGAGATTTCGGGAATGCTATGTTCGCGTATTGCTCGGTATTACTCGGTATTTGCTCGGTATTGCTCGGTATTGCTAGGTATTGCTTAATACCTAGCAATACCGCTCTGTGAAGACAAATACCGAGTAATACCGAGCAATACCGATCAATACCGAGTTGTATGTACAACTCGGTATTGCTCGGTATTTGCTCGGTATTGGTTATTGCAGAGCACAATCGACCAATACCTAGCAATACCGAGCAATACCTAGCAAAATCGAGAAATACCGAGCCATCCTGGGTCCGTTCCAGGTCGGATTGTCGGGGCGCGCGATAAATAGTGAGAACACATGGCGCGATTCTACTGGCGGCCGAACGTAGAGCTACGTCCTGTGACCGGACCAAATAAAAGTTCCTATGGCTAATATCGATGGGAATATTTAAATTTAATTCCTGATATTGTTTGAAGTTCTTCCCTCAAAATCTTTAGCTAGATCATATTGATACTTATTTGTTATATTCTAACCTAAAAATTTACAAACAATTTTAGAGCTCTAATCATCACTTTAAGCCAATAAGCCTTCCTAGTATTCTTGAATCCTCTTGATATCCATTCTAATCGAAGGTTTAATCAATACCCCTCCTTTTATATGAATTGCCTCCAAATCTGAATAGATGTTCTTAGTACTTACGATGCTTGCTTTAACTTGATGCTCTTAGATTTACACTATCATTTAATGCTTATAGTCTATCATCACTTGATAACCATTACTACAATTTTGTATAACTCGATTATTCGACATGTCTTCTTCATGATTGGCCTTTGGCTAACACAATGAGATTTTTTGAGTCATTTAATGTCAAATTATGAACAATTTTGCCACAATATTATATGTTCAATGTAGTATTTGTGTAAATGTTTGAATTTTTTTTAGCATTGTATTGAAATTGAAAGTTCGTGAAGGTTCTTAAACCTTTAAGAACAAACACAAGTATAATCAACAGGCATGCGGGGGGGGGGGGGGGGCGGGAGGGGGGGGGGGGGGGGGGGGGGTAAATTTGTTATTTAAAAGGTAGTTAAAGCAAAAAAGAAAAGTCTTTTTTTATATTTTTAAATATTAAAAAAAAACAAGTTTATTCCATAATGCGAAAGCATATTAAGTTCACAATAATTAGAAATTTCAACTACACTAAAATCACAAACGAGTGCGGAAATTAAAATGCAGAAAAGTAAAAGAACAAATACACCATATTTTATAGTGGATCGGTCAAATCTGACATACGTCCACTCCTCGGAGGCTTCCTCTGAGTATTGCACTAAACCTTTTAGTATCTCTCATTTAGCCCTCATAGCTAGGCGAAGAAGCCCTTATAAAAATATCTTCCACCAACCTAATGAGGTAGAGTACCTTGAATATTTTTCACCCTCCTGGTGAATGCAGAGAACTTGAATAATTTTACTTCCTACTAGAGTAGGCAGAGAACCTGGATTTTTTACTCCCTCCTAGAGTAGGTAGAGAGCCTAAATTTAATGCTGAAACATATCTCCCTAGAGCCACTAAGGAATCAAGAAAGAAGCTTTAAAGAAGACAATGGAAACCTTGCTTGGAGTAACCTTTGTGAATCCCTCAAACCTCCCCTCTTAAGAATCTCACCCTTTCTTCTCTCTCAAAACTCTCCTTCTTTTCATCTAAGCTCCATCTCAAAACAAGACAACAACAAAAGTTCCCTCTTACAAGAAAATATGAGAGGCTTAAATAGAGGGCATAAAAAACCTAATTTTTAAGAGATCCATCTTTTGTTCATATTGTATGATAAAAACATCGTACAATACTATTAGTATAAAATTTGACTTGTCCAGTATCATGTGAACAATTATTTAGATGATATGTTCAAACCTCATAACACTTTGTAATATACGATCATAAGATCGTTTGGTATGAACTTTAGAAATTCCTTCTATTCATTTGGGATGACTTGGAAGGACAGTTTTGTACACTATCGATCGTCTAGTATTACGGACATCATACTATACAATCAATACAAAAATCATGACTTTCGTTTGGTATGATCTTTGGGATGACCAATTTTGTACTCATTCAATTGTCCACCACTATTGATATCATACAGTACGATCAGTATATAACTTATGGCTACGTTTGATATGACCTCTAGGATAACCAAATGCGTAATTTGTAGATCTCATTATATGAAAAATATCATACAGTACGATTGGTTGATCATAATTGCCCATGATTTGATTGTCTAATTTTCAGGGTCAAATTAAGCAAAATATTAATATGATTGTACAATATGATTGTAGTCATATTATACGATCAATACAAAATCTTCCTTAACTCTAGTGGCTAGGATTTTTCAAAATAAACTTAATCGTACTGTATGAGTTTAAATCGTATAGTACAATTTTAAATTATACAATATGAAGAACATAAAATCTAACATGATATTTTTCTCTCACCCACTATGTGTGTGTATAGTTACTCAATAATATTATCTACTAGAATACATGACTTCACTCGAGAAAGGTAAAAAATACATAAATGACTGAAAATATAGACTGCAATCCTAGTAGTCTATTCAATCTTAAGCTAATCAAAGTTGCAAGTGAATGGTGAACCTGAAAAAGTTAGTGAATAGGGAAAAGCAGATATGCAATAACCAAATTGTCAGGAGATTGTAGTAAGGAAATAATAATATTTTTTATCACAAAAATCATAGTATTTGAGTCAAGATTTGTAATAATCTTCCCCTTTTTGATGATGACACTCAAATTCTTTGCTATCTTCTCTTCTTCCTCTCAGAAGGTGAATTTTTTAAAGTATGGAGAGTTTATTTTAAATATGAAAACAATTAAAAACAAACAATAAACTACTAACAAGAAATTTAGAAGGTGAATCTTTTGATTTTTTTTTAATATGCAAACAATTAACAACACCAAATAATAAACTACTACTCTCCCTTTTGACATCACGAAAAGGAGGAGGAGAATCACTAATTGATAGAATATAATAAGTATGCATAAAACATAACATAAAAATATATGCATACCAAAGACAATGAAATAGAAATTTGAATACAACAAAAAAATACAAACATAACAAAAATGACACACAAATGCTAATACATAGGTGGATCCGGATCAGGTGTTGGTTGTGGAGGTTGAAAATATTGGAAGAACTATTGATTGGAGGAGTACTGCTGGTGGATTGAGTCAAATTAACCCTTGAACCAATTTATTTCATTTTCATGTTGGACTTACTGTTAATCCAGGCGTGTCTAAAGCTTGTTAAAATGCTGAATCATCTCCTCATATGAGTGGTGATGAGGAGGTGGTGCAAGTGCATGATCAGCTACAGGGACAACATCCCCTTCTTCATCAAATATTGGCTCTTCTAGCTCTTGTTACTTTTGAAAGAGCATACAAAAAGAGGCTTCTGTAAAGAAGATTGGGTTGTTGTCAGGAAGAGCAGGATATGTCAGATTATATTTTTTATTTAGGATGTACCCAATGACATGTCCTAGAGTAATATTTTGTTTTCTTCTACTATATGGGAGTGGAATAAATGTAAGGTATTGGATGTAATCGATCAATATTTGGGCTTCATTCATTTGGGTATTTAACATAATGGAATATGTGACAGTTGAAAGTAAGGGGGTAATGTTTATCTGGACTCAAAATTTAGGAATGATTGAAGTTCGGAGGATGTGCTTGATAACCCTTGC